AAAAATGCAAAGTCAAGAGGCTTCTTAGTATTAAGAAACATTCCAGAATTTTAAAAATTACTCATAGTAATATTATGACATTGAAATATTATAATGGCTCCAGAGATGGACAGACATAGTACCTTCAACAATAATCATTGTATACAGAGAACAACAAATAAATGTATCAGATCTTTCCTATAATGATATGATAGTCCTTTACTATATTCATATTTTGATAACATCATTAAATTTACTACTTTGCTTGTGATACTTTAACTGCTACAGGATTTATTTCTGTTCTCAACTGAAACTGAGGTCTGAGCTAATCAAAGAAAAATGAGATGAAAAATGAAACATATTTCATCTGAACAGTGGTGTTTGAAAAGAATAGCTTTAGACACTTGAAAGAAAAAAAATCATTTGGTAAGCTGTGTATTTAAAGCATACAAGCTGAACACTGTTCCCTTGATTTATTAGTCCAAACTATTTCAGATGAGCTCAGGTTCCCTGTGGAACACATGAAAGGAACACATAATATTGCTGTTATGAAAGGAACACATAATATTGCTGCTCTCAGTGCCAAACCTAATGACAATAAACAAGCAGGGAAGGAAAAGTATGAGAAATGTTTAAAAATTTCAATATAGTAAATATTAAATTGCAAGATTCAAAAATCACACAATAAGAATGATAATAAAAAACTCTACATAATTATAATAATACAATAAGAAAATATAATTATAATATATATAATTATAATATATACTTATAATAATATAAGAAGAAAATCTGCATAATTAAACCAAACATACTTCCTATGGCAATCTCTTTGCTCTCAAACATACCCTACAACAGTGAGACTATTGTATAGTTGAATTGAACTATTTAAAATTACATATAATGGCGAATACTAAACATTAAAAAAAAAGTGACCAAACTTGGACTATAAATCTTTGCCTTGGGCAAAGGAGATTACTATAGAGTTTGATAAGAAGGGTGTACTGATATTTAAGAAAATCCAGTACTTAGAGATGCTTCCAAAAGTTCACAGAAGTCCTGGTGCTTGTTTTAGAAATGGTTTGTTGAATCCTAGCATGTTTCAGTAACTGGAGCAGAGATAAAAATGCTATTCAGTTGTGATGATAGCTGATGCAGTCTTCATCAGAAACAAAGAATTCAAGGTAACAGTAGTGATATATATCAAACGGGAAGAGAAGTACATTTCTATTTCTATTACAGAGATTTTCATTTTTCCTATTCCCAATAGCTTAAGCCATATCTGACCTATAATCCTCTTTAACCCTTCCATTATTTCTGAGATTTTCAAATCTAAAGCAACTCTTTTTTGCACATCAAATGAGAATCCCAAGAACACATGCAGAACGTTAATACTTTTTCCACAGGTTTCTAAAGTTCAAAAAGGTTTGCCTTACATTTTGCCTTGGGGACATGGCAATGTCTTTCAGAAACTGATGCATATTCACTGGAATGAGGAACTAATGTGGCGCTGATTCCTATGAAATCACCACTTCAGTGGTTTATGGTGGTATTAAGCTCTGTCTCACCATGAAAAGACACATTATTTCTGTGGTTCTTGATGACTTTCAAAAAGCACGAGCCTACATGAGGAAGCAAATATAATAGCATTTTTGCATACACGAGTAGCAAAAGTCCTTAATCAAAAATTCACTTCAATGGATGATTAACAGAAAATATTTTGTCTGAGAGACAACTGTAAAAGTCTAACAAGAACACTCCTTCAGTAATATTTCATTTGAATAAAGAAAGGCTAAATAAAAAGCTTAGTATTACATGTATTCTGGTCACTTGTGAAGATGAGCATGAATCCTCAAAAATTATATCACATACACTTGGGACCTGTTTTAGTGATGGTCTTGGCAGTGCTAGGTTAACAGTTGGACTTGATTATCTTGAAGAATTTTTCCAACCTAAATCATTCTGTTCTAGGCAGTAACAAAAACACTCTTATAAGAAGAGCATCTGTAAGTTCATAGAACCACACCTGTTTCCAAGCACACCTGCAGAGCTATATACAATGTTTCTGGCTGAAAGTGTTTTGAGACAGACACCAAAAGTACAAGGTTCTCTTTCATTTAATGAATGGTCCTAATTTGTGAAACTGTTTGAAAGATTGATTTCAATCCACATTTAAAACAGCTAAAGTTGACTCTTCCATTTTTGAATTAATATAGTTAAAGTTTGTTATAAAAGTGGCTTTTCTACAATTGCAGCAACATAAGTGTTCACAGGAGTTTCATCTTTTTGAAGCTGTAGAAGTTCAGACTGATTCTGATAGACTGTAATTATAGTGAAAAACCCCACAGTGACCTCTGCTTGGGAGCACATATCGAATCACAGTGCACTTAACATTAAGATAATCATTACATCTTCTACAAATCATTAGAAATTTTATTTAACTGAAATGAAATTTGATTCTCATTATTTGCTCATATAGTCAATTATTTTATTTACATTTTTGCAACCAAAAGAATTAAAGTCTGTTGTTTTGTCAAGAGACTAATTTCTAACCAAAATACATATGAACTCGTATTTTGGGGGAAAACACATTACCTTGTGTTTTTTTATGTTGCAAATTGGTGCTTACAAAAATTGAAAATTGACAAAAAATCAAATTTTAACTGAAACGCCTTGGGAGAGAAATAATGGAGTAATTTTTTTCCCCTTAAACAGTATTTGCAGTTTGTTGATAACTTAGAACCAACAGTCTTAAAGCTTCTTCATTGCATATCATGGTAAAGAAGCACACACACTGTGGAGCTATTTAAGAGACATAACTCCACAAATGTAAAAATAAGTAGTTAATGATAAAACGTGACCCAATCTTCCAAAGATTGTAACAGGCAGGAAAAGCCTAGAGTTTTTAACCCATGATTTAGTTAAGGTTATTTTCATTCTGTTCCAAACAGTCTGTTTTACCAGAGCAGAAAAGAACAGCAAATCCTTGGAAATACTTTGGGATCTCTATTATTTCCCACTTGGAACAAGACACAAACCAAAAATCTTAGTGATTTAAGCCTTTGAAATGGAAGATTTCCCAGAAAGTAAACATGTGTTTTCACAGTGATTGAGGCCAAAGAAAAACAAACCATCCCAAAACACAAGAAAGATGTCTTTCAGCAACTAGAGGATCTCAACAAGCCATCAATTCAAATATCTGATTCAGGGTTACCTACCTACTGGAGAGTTAGGTAAAAGAAGAAGTAAAATGCACTCAAGTGCTTAGTTTTTCTTGACTAGATTGATATTGCTGGAAATTCTGGTTGAAAAATCATAAAAATTAGGAGTGTTCATGCACCTCCGTCTGCTTCAGTTCTGACTGAACTGTTGGATTGAGTGGTTTGTAGGTGATAAATGAAAAATGTGTCAGTTTGGAAATAAAAGAACAGCACATTTCTCCACTAACAGCCTCACGCCTGTAGTCCAGGTTGTCTCAAGCTGCATCTCTGTCTAATATAGGGTGTCTTCCGAAATTTGTTCAGTGATGCCTTACTGAAAGATGACACTGATCCTTGGCTCTGCTAAGTATGCAACTTGCCAGAGGAATTGACAGCAACTGGAGTCATGGGGCTTAGTTGACTGGGTATTGGTTGTTTGCCACAGCATTTGATTTTAGTATTATGCTCAGTGTTTTTTTTTTTTCTTCTCTCTCCACAAAGATGGCATTTTGTTTCATTTTCTGCTTTTAAAAAATAAGAACTGATTCAATGAGGGAATGGGCTGTAGTTCAGGAGGCAGGGTTGCCAAAAGTGTCATTATTTCACTACCTTTTTCACAAATACACTGGATAACAAAAGCTGTAAGTTGGCAGCTGCAAGTCAGTCAGGTATATTCTGCCAATAGGTGACAAAATTGGGAATCGTACTGCCAGGAGAAGAGCATTTGAATGTCTAACACCTGCCACTTCCAAGGTCGTGGTCTTTGGGGTCCCTTCCAGCCCAGGACACTCTGTGATTCCTGGGTGGCTCAAACACTGCTACAACAAGGTGCACACCAAGAAGCAGAAGATCAAAGGCTGCCAGACCTCAGTTTCTGTTGGCTACACATGGACTCAGCCATAAATCCCATAAAGCAACCATTTGGTTTCTAAAGTTAGATAAAAATATTTTCTGGCACCATCTATGGCCAAGCAGGAGACACCTATGGAACTGTATGGACATACCACACACAACTGTCTTGTTAGGGAAGACAAAGAGAAGGTTACACCAGAGCAGGTGAGCGACTCTGGAAAAAGCATTTTCTGTAGCTACAATCTGCAAATCGTTGATGAATTGAATCTTTTCATACGTAGCAAATTCAAGCTTACCTTTAAAACCTCTCTCCTGAAGGAACACTCAAACTAAGCTTTTTCCTGAGAAGGAATTACCTCTAAGACTTTAGTATTAGATACTAGAAATCTCTAATACATATTAAGATACAAGTATACATAAATAATGTTTTGAAAAATCTCTATTAATAATTTGATAAACTTATGCTCCTTTTTACTTAGTCTTTTAACTGATGTCATTTTAAGAAACAAAGGAAGCAACAGCAACAAGATGTGGGAGAAAAACTGCGAAGTGACAATCATGAAGAACCTACTCCTGCGGACAAAGCCCAATATTCAAGTTCTGATGTGCACTATGGCATGGAAATTTGAAGCTTTCAAGGCAAAAACATACATAGTAATTGTAAAATAAGTGTTGACAGAAACATATAATTATTACATCCCACATTTAACCTTTGCATCCTTGAAAATCTAAGAGTTCAGTGCAAAAGATGAAATAAAGTTATTTCCACCTTCATTCCAAATAGCACCTGACCAAAGTTCTTCCCTTTTGCAAGACATCAGAGGTTTATTATCTAATGCTGAACAGCTCTATTGAAGTGTACCATACCTGTCTCTTCACAGTCATTACTGAAAGTCTAACATGGTTAGAATTACAAATAATTATTCTTATGAGCACCACAGTACTTGGAGAAACATGACCAAATCTTACCGCTACATTTCCATTGCACCCTTGGGACTGGCAAACACCTCCTATTCTGTTGGGAATCAGCACGTCATCCCAGCAAGATGGGCCCTTCAAAATAAAACCAAAGCATACAAAGATTATAATTTACTTCATAAATAAACATATAAAACTTGGTTTTGTTGCTGCTTTTCCTACTCTTGTTTCTTTTAGATTTTAGCTAGACAGTTTTATCATGGTTACGCTGAGAAATATCACTCAGGTTATATAACAATATTCACCAGTAACGCCCAGTCACAAACAGGATGTGGTCCCTCCACCCTAAGGTCAGTGCTGTGAACAGGCATTGTTAGTAGGTTACATTTTCTCAGCTAAAGACAGGTACTGAGTTAATCATAATTAAAAAGCTACAAAAACTCATTGTCTGTTTTAACACTGTTTACATGTGGGCCTGCAGCTGACTAAGGGGAAAAGGGAAGAAAGATAACAGATAGAAAACCTGTAAATAGATTTCTTGGCTGTAGAGAAAGCCTTTACTTAACTGTAATACAACATAATGAAAATACTAAGTGAGAATTGTTATTATATTTCTGGATATTTACATTAACTTCAATATTTATCAGTCATTATTAAAGAAACTTAAAAATCCTCAACCCCCCACAGCAAAACAATATAAAATCCAGAAAAAAATACAGACAAAAAATCCTTATCAAACTTTACAGTGATTTCTTGAATATACACAGTTCATTTATGAGCATATTACCAAGCAGAAAAAAAAAAGGATCGCAAATCATCAGTATTTCACAACTGCAAAATAATGCCATTAACAGGATGACCTATCAAAGAAGAAAACATATATATAGCATATATAGGAACATTCACAGAATTATTTTGCATCACAAAAAAATTGACACTTGTATGCTTTCTCTTTTTATATTAATTTTACACCAATGAATATTTAATTTACAGACAACAAAATTAATATGAGCAATAGATTTGAAGTTTGCAGGTATCCACATACATAGTAGAAATGAACAACTAAGGTATAAAAAAAGAAAACATTTGGTACTTGGATTACTCAGTGTTTGGGATAGAACCAGTGCCCAGGAAATGGCAGAAAATCTTAATCCAGAGGAGAAATTATGGCAGTCAAGACATTGACCACATTAGTGAAATTAGTGCCTACTTAAAACACAGTTGAATTAGAAAGTAATCCAGAGTCACATCTAGATCCAATTCCTTTTAGCTCTTTATCAGGCACTTCAGCATTGTGTGGGCACAGCTGAAATGATTTTAGAATTCTCTTAGTAGTGTGAACTTAGTTATAAAATGTTGATCCAGCCTGTCTAGAAAGTTGAGTAAAACAACTTGCTCTTCACTGAGCTCCACTATCTAGCGTCATCCAGCTGAAGTGCTGGCACATGTAAATTGAATTGCAGGCATTCACAGGGGTAACAAATCATAGTTTTCGGTCCTTGGGTGAACACAGCTGGAGTGGAGTTTGTATAAAGTAATAATACTTAATATTAGTGGGGGGGGGGGGGAGGGAAAGGAGAGAGGGGGCACGACCTTGAATTAATGATTTAAAATATCAGAAAAATAAAGTTTGCCACCAATTATTCCAGTGAATTTTCACCTCTCATGAAGTTTTAGCATTCCAGAAAATTTGCAGGAAGAACAGTAAGGCCAAATTGAGACGCTGCACACAGAACTACCTTCTTTTAATTACTTTCAACTCAGTAGTAAAAATTTTATTTGATGCCCCCCCATTTATTTATTTTTCCCCATGCCACCAAAGATTGAACAGATCTCTAGCATTCCTTCCACAGCAGTTTACTTTTCAGAAAAGAAAGTAATCTACCTTCCCATCCCTCATATAGGTGCTGTTCCTTATCTTTTACTTTTTATCTTTTAGCAGCTCTTCCAACTCTATCATTTTGGAATATAAGGAAGATCATTCAATACACATGACTTGCATGTTGGACCAGTGAATAGAAAGATGATGTCTACAAACTTGTTCAAGTCCTCCTAAATACTTATTAAAATGTAATTTACTTTGCTCATGGTTACTAAACACCGAGGCAGCATTTTGGTGGAGTTATCTATCAGAGCTCCTAGACCTCACTGCTACATAAAACATGTGTCAAAATACATCTCATATATATAAAATCTGGGTTTTTTCCCCAGTGCACATCCCTTAATAATGACATATGTTAGATTTCAACTGCCATTTCAACAGCAGTTGTAATGTGCATCCTAAGGTCCACAGAGAGGCTTCTAGCAGGTTCTTTCTAGGTTCTCCCATATTGAATCCATCTGTTTGCTTCCAAGGATGAACCAGCTATATGCCTCACTCTCCAAGTCTATGGCAATCACCTAATAGACTTTCTGCTCCTGTTATAGTTTAAATGGACTCAGCAACAGTTTTTTCTGCTGTTTGCAGGTAAGATACTTCAGCAGTTTTTCCCACCAAATTGTATTTTTATATTTAAAGTGCTAGAATTATTTTTTTCTTGCTTTCTAGTAGTTTAGTTATCAGTGTTAAAGACCTGATCTTCACTAGTAACATTATAAACCAGGTCCCCCTTCTCTTGGCAGTTCTTTGATCAACTTTTCCATAACATAACCTGATAGCATCCAGAAGTTTATTCTTGGGATTGTGATTTGACATGATACTTACATAATATACATTAAAGTAATATAAATGCCCCATTATGACAGTTTTTCCTACACTTTCAAAATTTTGCTTGCTATCACTATCTGGTCACACAATTGTTATAGGGAGTCATATTTTTCCCTCCTTTTGAGGCCTGGAATTTTAATTCATGAGGATGACATCTAACTCACTGACTTGTTAAAGACAAGCAAGACTAACAAGTTAATGTTTGATTAACAGCTATACTTCTTCATTCATAGTCATATTTATTAACAAACTTTTATTAAAATACTTATTTTTCCAAATTTGAGGAATTCAATAGTTGCCTTTTTTTATTTTTGGCTAATCCTTACATGATTTCCGTTTGGGAAGAGGATATTAAAAAAACCCCAGGAGAAATAAGAAGCAAGTGTGCTTTATAAGACTTGGGATATTAGAAGGGATGAGGATAGGGGAGAACACTCATTTAAATTAAAAAAAAAAACCCAGAAACATACTTAGTCAAGCCCCAAGAAAAGTCTTTCTTACTTTTTTTTTAATTTGGTACTGGTAACACAGGACAATGATTTTTTCCTGTTTCTTCATCCTTGTGTGATTAATAGGAGACTCTGAAAGTTAATGATGCTACACCAGCATATACACAAAAAAATAGTCACACCACGATACACACCAAGTTAATTTAAATGAGTGTGTAGAAGCGTTCCACAGGTATGCTATCAGCTCTGGTACTAATTATCTTGATTTTACAAGAAGAAAATATTTCAAACTAAACTTCTTAGAGGAATTGATGTTTTACTTCACTGAAGTTGCTTCAGGTGAAAACTTCCAAAATATTCATTAGTTTGCAGGTCTGGGTATATAGTCACAAAAAGGTAAGAAGGTATATTAATTCTCAAGCTAGGAAAAAACCCCAAAATATCCACAGGATCATTTATAAGGCTGAGGTTCTAGAAAAATGCATTTTTAAAAGAAACCAAAAAGGGATGAATTTATGCAATGCTGACTACCATTAGAATTAACCACCACTAAAAGCAGCACTATATCGAGTCCAAATATGTTTAGTATGAGAATATATTTTATTAATAAACAGTTACAATAATAATAGGGAGTTTGCAATCACCTTTAATTTCTTATCTCCAAGGGAAAGCTAATGTACTACATGGCTTGATATGAACTTGTAGTGCTCCCTCTCTGTGCAATCATTTCCTCATGACATTTCTCAAGCACACAAGACTACTTTGCACACAAAGCACCTCACTATTTGAAATAAAAATGTCATCATTTACTAAAAGCATGTTAGAGCATATACACAGGGAACTAGGAGCACAGTTTCACATTATCAGCAACTATCAACTGTTCACTCACACTGCAGCTAAGAACTTCCTATTTTTCCCTTTATAAAAACTCCCACAATATTCATCACTTCTTTAACTCTTATGATGGACATAAAACCTGTAAAAAAGTCTGATGCATTTAACTCTTTTGGTAACATTAACCAGACCTAGCTTTAAGTCAACAGTGGTTTCTTTTCTTTCTGTTTTAGTAAAAGTTAGATCAAGTTCTTAAGGCACAAGACAGCACTGATTCAGCTGGAATTATAGACTGACAGAATATAATGGGTTTCAGCCAGTTTAGCATTGATGAGTGGAGAGAAAAAAAGTAATAAAACAATAAACCCCAATCAACCAGAGAGCCCCTATTCCACACCTCATTTTCCAAATTAGTAAGAGAAAAAATCTCCTTTTCCACATCTGTTCTTGGCATTCTTCATGGCCATATTTTATTATTAATGCTAATCTAACACACTTTCAAAAGATTTAGCGTGCTTGAAAATTTTAGTTTTCCACCTTCAAAACAAAAATAGAATAAAAGACATTTGTCCTTGAAAAACACTGTGCACTCAAAATGTTAATGTTTCTGTAGCGACAGTACTACTAAATGTCATTGCTATAATTGCGTCAAAACACAATTAGGAACTCTGGCAAGATAAACACTTTGAAATGAAATTTTTGTATCCTTCTTTCTTGAGTCTAAGAAAAGCTTGTCAACCTGCAGGCCAGCCAATCACTTGTGGTGTTATAACACTGCAGGCTCTAGTGTTTGTAATTATTAGTTTGCATTAATCAGGAACATACTGTGAGAGGAACAAAGCCTTCTGATTGCGAGATTGAAGCAACTGCCCCTCTTGTACTCAGCCAAATGGCTCACAGAGAAAGCTCTGCATTAAAATAAACCAAACACATCAGAAGAGGCTTTTCCTGTGCATAAGTGGGAAAATGACAGAATAAAGAAAGAAATAGAAAGAACACCACTGAATAGAAAAAATCATATCAAATGTACTTGAGTACTTCCCAAATAAGCAGGTATGGAAATTTCACTGCCTTTAGCATATGGCAACTGTTCCTTTCCTTTTTGAGGGGGAAGACAGGAAAAAAAAGTTGGTGAATGGTATATT